GGATAAAAAAACAGGAAGAATAATCTTATGAATGATGAAAAACAAATGGATGACAGAAAAAGGAAAACGTACATCGAGTATGAAGTGACAGGAAATACATTACAAACATATTTTTCAGTATGATCATTAAGTAAATCTTTGACATGATAATAATAATGCACATTATATGATTATTTTGAAATTATTTGTTTTTTTGGTTCCACTACTTATTTATGTTCTTAAAGATATAAACAAAAGATTTATCAAAATTGTTTTCCTAATGATGAAATGTGTAGATATGATGGCTGCAAGGAAGTTTTGTTTATTATTTATACAAAAAAAAAAAAAAAAGAATATTCTATTAGATTATTTTTATAGACAATAAAGGTTATGTGGTGCACTTAAAGTATGATACTAGATGTCTTACCAAAATTTTATTATTTATTGTTTCGAACGACTTTGAAAATATGATGCAAATAGAAAAACTTTAGCTTTTATGAAGTAAGATTTGTTCATTATTAAATAAACTTTTGAAAAAAGATAGAATCGTATAAAAAAGTCCAGATCTCTATGAATTTTATTGTTGATCAAAACTATTCGTCAAATGATCTTATCGGATAACTAATAGCATCATAATCTATATCTCCAAAGAATTTTTTTTGCAAAATTAAACTTCTTTATTTTATATCAGGAATATATTTCGTTTGTTCTATGTTGCGAACACAACTGGAGACTGCATCGCTGATCAGATACTTTTTATTTAAGGATATTTTCCCTTTTTTCAAGGCCGCTAAAGAACGACTCATCAGAAAAATTTGAAACTTTCAGAGCAAAAGAATCTTGACGAGTAGAGTCGAAATTCTCGGATGCTGTCTTCTATAAGATACTAGGATCACAATAGCAAAAAATGACTCCTGTGACATATTATCTTCGATCAAGTCGAAAATTTTGTTACAAATATTATACACTGTTTGGGATGGATATTTTTTTATTTTCTTGTCTTTCGAATAAAAAAAAAGCCAAAAAATATCGAAGGTATCCTAAAAAAACACATAGATTTTTTTTCAATCAGCTAAATAATATTTTATGAAACAAAAAAAAAAAAATATCCATCTCAAACAGTGTATAATATATATGAAAACAACTGAAGAAGATGCTCTCTTCTCTAACGTAATATCTTTAGGTTTTTTCTTTTTTACATACGGTTTTAAGTGAATATGTTTTAAGAATTTCAAAATAGTTTTATAGTCAAAAAACAATTTCTTTTTTTCAAATTTTGATTTAGCCGTATAAAAACAAAATTATGAAATAAATGTTTATTCTTCTTAATGACAATATCAGTTTGGATGTGAATGATAAGAAGTTAACACTCCACATCAACACCATATAAAAATAGAGTAATGTGGATGTTATCATCTATCTTTTCTTTTTTGCTACTACAAATGCCATTAGACTACAAAAATAGTAGACATTGATAAAGAACTATTAATCAAAACAAAACATTACATTGCATTTACACACTTAAAGATAATGTATCGTACTTTGCGACACAATATATACGACACGAGGTGCTCGTTACGATGCATTCTGAAAACATAGTTCGAATCTAGTATACATCCAAGACGAGCATTACGACAGTCGTAAACGACTGTATTGGATCGTATTACTTGATGCCAGAATTACGACTGTATATCGTTGTGTCGTATACAAACATTATTTCTCATATCATTCCACATAAACTTGTCCTGTTTCCTTCTCTCTCTTCAGTCTCCAAATAATACAAAGACTAATATTCGGACTGTCCTGGCAGACTGGGCAATCCAAGTTATCTAAGTTAACACTTACTGTTTGATTTATCCTAATAATAAATCTAAAAATAAAACGAAAAAGAAATTGTTTAATTTAAGATAGCATTTACTAGTCGTTGTGCCATCGACAAGAATCATACATTAAAAAAAAATTGTTTCTGAAATATATGGGTTGACAAAAGTACCCCCTTCCCTTGGAGCTAAGCTCCTCTAAGAACTAAACGTCTGAAAATCGGTCTAGAGGTAGAATTTCGTGACTCGATAATAGAGAGAGTTGTTGAGTCAGCCAATGACTCATTTTGTAGTCCTACATTATGGCTATTTCCAGCATTAATTTTATCGAAGTCTATCGAGTTATTGATAAACTAAACTATTTTTACTGAAAACCATAGAATGCCATTAAGAGATATTCTCATATAGATGACCATTGTTTTCTGAAAGTTTCAGAAGCAAACACTTTACTATACGTAAATAGTCCATCGATCAATATGATGAGTATGTCAAGATTTTAGAGTCTCTATTACTCAAGTAAATGAGCTCATCTTTTGAGCAATAAAGGATCATAAATTAGACTACAAGTCCATGCTAAAAGATCGATAATTATTCGTATATTTGATTAAAAACAGCACGTAGATTCAGTAAGGTCAATTTTAGCTATTTCCCTGTTAATATGATAAAATGACTTCGTATGTCAATATTTCACAGGGAAAATCTTTTTGGACTGTTCGAGAGATTTATGGAACAACAGAAATTCTTGTACTCGAGATATCTAGACGGTTCTTCTTTACGAGAATCTTCAATCAAATTGTAGTATACAATCATATGGTTTTTATAAAACTCTGATAATATCATATTTTGTAGAATGCAGAACACAGTTGCTGAAGAATCCGAACGCCGAGACTTATGTATAGTATTTTTGTTATAATTACCAGCCATTTCGATCTGAAAATTTCATCCTCTAACGGAGGTAGCTGGTTTAGATTGTTTTCTAAGAACGTTGAACTGCCCAAAAAGATTTTCCCAATGAAATATTGACATACGAAGTCATTTTGTCATATTAACAGGAAAATAGCTAAAATTGACCTTACTAAATTTATGTGCTGTTTTTAATCAAATATACGAATAATTATCGATCTTTTAGCACGAACTTGTAGTCTAATTTATGATCATTTATTGCTCAAAAGATGAGCTCATTTACTTGAGTAATGATCGATGCACCATTTTCATATAGTAAAGTGTTTGCTTCTGGAACTTTCAGAAAACAATGGTCATCTATATGAGAATATCTCTTGATCGCATTCTATTGTCTTTGTGTATATCCATGTTTTCAATAAAAATGGTCTAGTTCATCAATAACTCGATGGACTTCGATAAAATTTGTACTGAACATAGCCATAATGTAGGAGTACAAAATGAGTCATTGGCTGACTCAAAAGCTCTTTCTCTTATCGAGCTATGAAATTTACAAGGGAGATGGACGACACCTATTATAAATTCGTTCTAGCATTGAGCAATTTCGGCATTGATGGCACTCCCGATCTACATTCTCTGTGGACTATCTATATATCAATTTTCAGACGTTTAGCTCTTATAGAAGCTAAGATCCAAGGGGCGGCGATACTTTTGTCCACCCGTGTAACAACGCATACTTACTGTTCAGTGTGCGGTTGTAACAGCTATATATTTAAAAAAAAATTCTTTTATACAAAGAAAGTTATTTAGCATCGAACACGACAAAAATACGATCGCCGTTTATGTGATAGTCGCATTAAACAGTCGTTTACAATTGTTCTTTCTCAACCTGGACAGCGCATTTTTTACTATTTTTTGTGTGAAAGCAAATAATGAGAATTTTTTTAATGTAATTATTCCTATTCTGAAAATTCAAGCCGATCAGATCTTGAGATGTGTCCATCTCGAGTTGATTCGATCTCAATCAGACTAATTCAGGCTAGTCCTCGATCATCGATCGAGAAATAATCTAGGAAAAAAAGACACCAAAATACACAAGTGTTGTATGTTCAATCGAATTGTCTATATGTAGCTGTGTGTGCAAAACAGAACGGTAAATGAATAGTCAACAGACAGAATACGACATATTTTATTTTAGTATGTAAGTGCATTGTACTTATCCAGTCGTTGAATGACAACAAAAGAAAATTTCATGTTGATGTTATTCATTCAAAAAAAGACAGTATATATTCATTACTGTTTATTTGATGTAATGGTGATTTGTAGAACAGAAGTTAATCGGTTTCCATTCCTCGATCGGAATATTGTTTCATTGGTATGTGGCGTCGTCTGAAATTGATTTTAGGTTGACTGTATATATAAATTTCATAGAAATTATGAAACATTCTAGTTTTTGAGATTTCAAGACCTTTGAATCCTTCATATAAATGTAATAATACTATGGATATTATAGAACAAACTACCAATCAATTATCATTTAATGTATTTTTATCTAAAATATATAAATTAGCAAGACAATAACTTAATTTAGATTTAAAAATAATGGAAAAGTCAAAACCAAAAAAATTATAATCTTCATCTTATAAATATAAGAAAAATATTTATGATAAAATTATTTAATTGGGTATCTTTTATAGTTTTTATTTATTTATTTTTTAATCAACAAGAAAAAAAATTCGATATTCTCGATGTTGATTTGTTTGTTAAACATTCAAGTAAGATATAATATCTTATATTAATATTAAAAATCAGATACAAATTAAAAAAAAAACCTGGTTCCCAGATCGAGAGTGTTCAACATATGTTAGTATTTGAAACTTTCACAATAATTCTATACCATCAATAGATTGACATAAAAGTCACATTAGAATAGAAAATATCTAAATCATACTGTTATGTTCAATTCATAACGCTATGGATGTTAAACAGTAAGTATTTGTTTTCTTTTGTGTGTTAATGAATGCATACTAAAGATGAAATTACAAGACATATGAATAGGACAAAAAAAAAGAAGATATTATTTTCAAACTTCTATGTTAATTGGATGTATAAAATTTGATCTGTTTTGATTGTAAAGATTTTATTTTCGATTAAATCATTATGATAAAAATGAATTAACATTATTAATATAAATATTTAAATAATATTATCATAATTTTTGTTGTTTTACTATTGTACGATATCTATTTTATTTTATATAATATTTCAAAAATAGAACAAAATAATATTATTCAATCATTTTTATTGAGTTCGTCTTCGATGAGATATTCGTAAATTTGTTCGTGCTAAAGCAAGAACAATTATTGGTGGATGTTTTCGTCTTTGATTAAATATTATATAAATAAATGGATTAAGACTACTTTGTACTAAACATATAGTTTGTAAAACTCCATCAAGCCATGATGGTATACGTAAATGACCATTAGAATAAATTTCAATTAAAGTAATAACCATATAAGGTGTCCAACAAACAACAAATATAATAATGATAGTCATAGCTAATTGAATTGTTTTAATTTTAGCAAAAGATGATGAAAGAATTATTGTTTTTGTTTTTTGACCTGGTACAATTTGTATCCAAGTATTTGTTGATGATATAACAACATCTATTATTTTTATATACCATATTGCCATACAAAAAGCTGGTATAATAAGAATATAACAAGCAAATGTTGTAAAATAAATTCGACGTTGCCATTCAGCTGTATAACCTGTACTAGCACAACGATATTTTGTTAAACTTCCTTTTATTAAACTTTGTTCAAATATAAATAATTGTGGTATAGCTGTTATTAATGAACTTAACCAACATAAAATTATAATACGATGTATACGACGGATAGTTGTACGTGATCGAAGTGGACAACAAATTGCTTCATATCTAAATTATACAAAATTAGGTTTTTTATTTTTTACAAGACTCTTATATTTTATGATGAATGTAAAAAAGTTTAACAATAACGTATTTTTTCTATAATGTTAAGCAATTAGCTCAAATCTGAGTAGTGGTTTTGTTTCGTTTTATACAAAAATACCCGTGAATTTATTTATAAAATGGATAAAAAAGCTTTCAGCGCAATCCCTTCCAAGATTAAAATGTGAAACACGGTTCAGCTGCTTTTCCTAATTGCAGGGGAATCTTTTAAATTTATCTATTTCGAAGCACATTTCTAAAATATTGTTTTACCCATTCCTTCAAAACTGGAATCGAAAATTAGTTTATACGTTATAATAAAACGTTTTTGATGCGTAGTCTTTGATCTTATATCAACAGTCTTGTATACTCAATGATTGCTTCTCGGAGTGTTTATGAACATATTAGACGTGTTAGTCATCGTCTGTGGGAAGTATTCTATTAGCAATTAATCCTTAATTATGAGGTGAATAATCAGTCCCAAACTAGCCGTTAATTAATTATCCACTAACCCTAATTAATGAGGTCTTAATTAGTTATTAACAAACTAATTAATAAAATTTCTGGCACGGTCTGTGATAGTTGCTAAGGTGTCTGTCACGTCTGTGGGGGGCCGGAGGGTGGGTCCAGATTGCTACCCTATATACTTCAACACTTCTTTTAGATCGTGTTTCATAAAACAACAAAACTCTTCTTGACTATAATATCTAAACCTGTTTACCATTGAGTTTGGATCCAAAAAAATTTAACCGATCGAGTCCGAGTCTGGGTTCATGTTCAGCAAAGTTTTAATGGATCCGAATGCAGAAATTCTTGGATCCGACCAGCTCTAGTTTTAGATTCCAGAAGACTATTTTTTAACAATGCCATTTTGTTCAGAATCTTGTGCTTTTTTAAAATGGTATTGTTAAACAATAGTCTTCTGCAATCTGAAAACTACCGCGTCTAACCTTTTAGAAATCTTGCCATCGTGGTTAATCTATGCAATCTTGGTTAAGGAAAATTCTATTGGCTATTAAAATCACTATCTGGATTTAAGCTAGTCGCTTCCCATATCGTAAATACCCGACAGTTTTTAACGGTAAACCGTGGTAAAATGCAGTAACGGGAGCCGGTAACCAGATCGGTAAACCGGCGGTTTTTCGAGCATTTTTATGACATGGGAAGATGCAAGAAAAAAAAACATTTAAAACAGCAAAATCGATGATTCGGAAGCAACTAAATGTCAATGATCATCAGTGAACCACGGTATTCATCAAAATCGGCGGTTTACCAAGGTAAATTATAGCGATAGGAGCCGATAATCGGATCGATAAAACCACGGCTAACCGTCGGTTTCCTTCTGGTTTTTATCACATGGGTTAACATTACAGAAAAAAAAAACTAAGCATATGATTATTATATTTAATACTTTGCTACTTAATGTCAAGTGCGGATAATGCAAAACTCGAGTAGAAATGATTCTACTAGTTTTATTTATACATCATTGGATAAAGTGTGATAAGTCGATCATGAACATGTTAGTTTCGGACTTTTCTATTGTCTTTTAGGAGAGGAAATTTCGAAATACTGGGAGCATGTAAAACAGCTTTCTCAAGTGTAACGTGGTGATGTTTTGGCCACAGTATTATTAACTTTTCTCAGTAATTAGATTATCTAGTAAGTTCTCTCTTTCGTTATTAGATGTGCCTCTGCCTTCCCTCACAACCTCTGGAAATTTGAGCTCGTTTTAATGAGCCGTTCGAAAATTAAAGCAAGAATAGATAATGAAAAAGGAGCAGAAAGTTAATGGTGACCTGTTTGTTCCTTATTTTGCTACGAATGTGTGCTACATTAAAATAAACTTCCCATAAACATTTTGTAGCAAACACCTTGAAGTACCCAACAGAAAAAAAGAATTCTTCAAATAGGCTTCTTATTTTGAAGAGGGATCGATTTAACTAACGTAACGTGATGACGATGATTTCTATGAACAAGCTTTTTTTTTCTATGTTATGTTTGCCATATGTATAATTGTGTAAAGGTTTGCCTGGTATGGTTATATCGAAACTCTCTACTAAGATTCGCTAGTGCCTAATTTTCAAAATTTAATTAGTTTTTTTTTTTGTACGAAGAGATAAAACCAAGTGTTTTACTTCATTAGAATCTCTCTAGAACAGGCTTTAATAGGATTCATTTTGGTTTTATTAGTAAGAAAATAGAAATTTCGACCATCAGACTACTAGAAAAGAACAAAATGTACGTTATGTATGAAATCAGGTTAAAAAACTATGTTCAGTCATATAGGTTTCAATAAAATGTATGTTGTTAGATACAGTTTTTCCAGCTAATTTTAAATACAACATTCATTTTGGTCTTTTCTAACGGTCAAAATGGCTGAATTTCGTTCTCTTTCCATTTTCTCACTAATAAAACGAAATGAATAATGTTAAAGTCTATCCTCAAGAGATTCTAAGTCAGACATTTAATTTTATCTCTTCCTACACCCACACATCTAATCTGACTGTTACACTCAATTTTAGATGACACATAAGAAAAAAATCAACTGAATGATTTTTATTTATTTTTATATCCTTTAAGTATTTCGAAATGTTCTCACCTAAAAGACAATAGAAAAATTCGAAATCCATATATTTGTGATCGGTAATATCACATTCTATCCAATGATACATAAATACAATTAAAATTGTTTGCACTATCCCTCATCTTATTATTCAACAACAAGATCGAATTAAACATTCAGAAACTTGTATTTTTGTCATTTAAAAATGAAATTTGCAGTTATACGAGCATATAATACACGATCTAGAGAAATAATTTAATAAAGAACTTTCTTGTGAATTTGAAGTAGAGAATTCTGACCAGTAATTGAATTTGACAATTGATATCATGCAACATTTCAGATAAATATTACCAAATGAATAATAGACAAAAATATCTTTAATTTTTATCATGTCAATTTATTTTGATATTGTTATTTTAAAAAAAAACAAACAAAAGGTTTGCAGTCTTACACTCTCGAGAAGGATATTTTGAGTATAATGATCTTTCACTTTTTTTTTCTAGAATTTTTCTTGTGATCTCAATTAGTATACTCAGCAAATAAGAAAAAAAACAACAACAACAACAACAACTAGATGAAGAAATATTATGGATAATAATTTCTGTATTCATATTGTATAAACATGACATTTGAAATAAGAAACCTTCGATTCTTATTCTCGTGTTTTTTTTTAATGAAAAACAAAAAGAATTCCCTATTTGATAACACATCAAAAAACAAAAGCATGATTTTATCACTTTGTTTCTTATTTAGTACTGCTTAACTACACTGTGATCATTAAGAATAAGATACATTTCCATATATTTTCTACAAAAAATAAAAAAAACCTTTTCTTACCGATCGTATGTCATTGCAACATTAATAAATGTTGTTGAAGCAAGTGTAACAACTTGAATATAAAGTGTTAATTTACAAGCAAGATTTCCTAAAATCCATTCTTGATCAAAAATTAAAAGAAATAATTCTGATGTCATCGTACATAAACATATTGTTAAATCACCAATAGCTAAATTCAAAATAAATAAATGTAAACGTGTTCGATATCGACGATGATAAAATAATTCATATATAATATAACTATTACCAATTAAAGTTATAAACATTATAATTGCTAATATAACAATACGAATAATTTTATTAGTTGACCATTGATGATAAGACATAATGAAATTCGATGATAAATTATTCATGATAAATTAACAACAAACAAAAAAAAATAATACTACAAAAAAAAATAAAGAAGTAATTTTCATATAGATATAAATCAATATCTTGTTTTTTTCTATTTATTACATGACAAGAAATTATTTTCCATTTCCTTTGAAAAAATATATTCGATATGTTCTTATCGTGATTAATATTGATATCACCTGTGATAATTCACTCATATTATCGCTTGCATGACAAGAAAAAAAAATCAATATTCTCATTTGGTGCAAATTATTTTTTTTTTCATTATGTAAAATAATAGTATCGTATCATCGATCTAATGTAAAAAAAAGAAAAAAAGATATCACTGTCATACTTAAATGTACTAGTTGACGAATGAAGAAACAAAAAGAAAAACGGTATGACAATGATTACAGTCTATTTACTGCAGCTATGAATAATGTAGATAATTGTCAAATATCTTAATATGTTTTGTATAAATAAACTACAGTCGAAGAGAAAAAGTTAGAAAATATACAAAAACATTAAACAAGTCTATGGATGAATCTCTTCTTTGCAAATAGATTAGTTTCAATAAATTTTCGAGCTAATAATTCAATAAAAATTTTCATAGTAAAGTATCTATACTACAGATCTAGACGTTTGTTTTCTCACTATTCTTCTGTCGAGCAATATCTTAAATAATGATGAAGATATCATTTCTTACATTTTAGATGATGATTTCGGTTTATCATTATTTCCATCGTTCTTTTCTATAACTCTATGACAAATATTATGATTATTAATAGAGAAAAACGTTCTTCTTTTTTCTTTCTCTTTCATCGAAAGCTTTGCACTATTTCCTATTCTTTTAACTGATTTTTTTTTTGTCTCTTTATTTTCTTTTCATTTCTATCAAGTGTTTTTATACTTACTTCTTTGTATACTTTGATGTGTATATTTAAATTTCGTTATTCGATCTATATAACCTTTTTTAACTATAGGATTTACTTTTGTCTTGATTTTTTTTTTCTATTAAACATCAAAACCAATAACGATATAGAAAAGAGATCTTAGGGCATCGATAAAACTTAATTATTAGGAAGAGAATCAGTCTTCAAGCGAAGCCTGATAATAGCTGACAGGGATTGTTAATGATGCTTGTTTTTTTTTTTTAATCTTTGTGGCTGTTCTTCTATTCTACCTAGCAAACTCTAAATGATGACAAATACATGTCTATGAAAGCGCTCGTGAAGCAATGAGATCAGGAAAGATGAGCGCGCATCCATGGAAACGCTTTTTAAGCCAGCAAATCATAAAGTATGATAAAATGAATAGCACATCAAATTCTGCTCGTCTCATCAGTCTAAAACAGCAAGCAATCTTTTTTTTTTTTTTGAAAGCAAATTTTCTTCTTTCTTAATGTTGTTTAGTGATAGTAATTTTAAAAAGAATTAATCTTATTACGGAAATTATTTTTGAATTGAAAAGCAAAAACAAAAGAATCAATTATTTTTTTTTGTTTCTCTTAAGAAATAGGTTTCTTTTCATTAAATTCCAATAGAAAAATAGAACTATCAATTAATTAATGAAAACACATACTTTTCAATAGATACTCTTTGAACCCCATAACAAACTACTACCTTGTGTTGTACTAACGATAAGTTTTCATTGGAAATTTTACAAATAATATAACTATTCGTTGTCGTACTAATGTTGACCATTAACATTATTTTTCGACATCAAGAAGATTATCTTGACTTTATGAAGTTAATAGACATTATATGTAAATATTATTCCTGAAAAAAAATCCGATCTGTCAACAAGAGAATATGTGACAAAATGAAGGAGTAGTGTTACAACTATTCTCGATAATGATGTTTAATTGACTGTTCCAAATTTTCCAAGCGCATATATCTCTCACGATATACAAGTTATGTACGAGAAATAAAAAGAGAGATGAACACATCAATACTCAATAGAAAATATTGAAAGAAAAAAGAAAAAGGAAATGAATATGCTAACAAGAGTTTGATATCATTATCGATATATTATTACTGTGTGTTGAGACACACTTTCTGGCACTTGTACAATTAGAAAGGAAACGGAAAAACCAAAGAAAAAATACATAACGTCATGTTAAGTTCATCATCTGAACTTAATGCATCAATGAAAATATGAGCCAACCAATATTAAATATACGAAATTTCTTTAACCACTTATATATCATTCAGAATGGTTATCCTACGATATTAAAAATAGTAGTACATTACATATGAAATATAAATAATGATTTATCTTCACACTTCAAACATTTCATATAAAAAAGAATGTATTAAAGCAAATGAGATGCACAGAAAACATTCATTTTCTTAACTATTAATTAATCTCGATAGACATTTCCTCACACTAAAGAAACAAGACATGACATTTTGTATTGGGAAAAAGGACTTTTGATCACCACAAAAAGATAGTTTTGATCACCAAACAATTAAAAATACAAATCATGACCCATAAAGGATTGTTTTGATCACCACGCACTTTTAGATACAAATGATCACCAAAAAAAGTTACTTTTGATCACCAAATTTTTCAAATCGTTGTGATGTTGCATCATTTCTAGTTTGTTTATTCACTATCCCTTACATTTCATCAGATTTTCTCTTCCTCTGTATATTATATATAAATAGTAATTTGTATCACTGGGTCAGTGGTCGACGCATACATTTATACAAAATAGTCGAAAATATTCATTTGAAAAAATAAATAGATATTAATAAAGTTGTTAAAGTGTTCCTTGTTTATTTATTATTTCAATTTTTTTTGGATGTTATACTTTTTTGGGAAAAATAAATATCTTGGATGAATGTTGAAAAATCTGGTTATCAAAAGTAACTTTTTTTGGTGATCATTTGTATCTAAAAGTGTGCGGTGATCAAAACAATCCTTTATGGGTCCTGATTTATATTTTTAATTGCTTGGTGATCAAAACTATCTTTTTGTGGTGATCAAAAAAACCCTTACCCTTTTGTATTCATACTGTCAATAATAAAAATCCAATTAATCACACATTACAAATTCAACTAACAATAAAGAAATCATTTAATCAATTCTTACATAGTCTGGTGCAGATCAAACACAATAAAACAAGATAAATTACGACATAATACATAAGAAAAAGAATATGAAATAGAGACGCGACATAAAACGATTCATTTTCACACATATCAATTAGATTATATAGTGGCTACCAAAATTATCCGACAAGCAAGCAGAAATTTTTTGTCTTGTTTATATTTTAATAGCTATATGAGCTAGAATAGTCTGGTTTTCGCCATATCACAGTCTATGGTCTGTAGTATTCCCATGAAAAATCCCAGGTCAATCTACGTATCTATTGAAGTTTTGTTGATAATACACTCGAAGTATACCATTTTTCATCCTTCCAAAATTATCCGACAAGTTATTTTTGTAACCACCTATGCGCTCATTTTAATATAAGGGTGGGTGTGGATATGAACGTGAGAGAAGACACCCACACCCACACCCTATCACTGAAAGCACAGATCCAACAACAGAAAGCTATATTGAATGGATGAAACAAGGTGGAAGTTATGCTGATCATTTCGCAATTTTAGCTACAGCATCTTTCATCAATAAAGATATAGTTATCCATGAAAAAGACAAAAAGCCTTTGTTAATTCCAAGTTCTGATTCTCTTACCTATCAATTACATTTCTGGTATGATCCAAATACTGAACATTACGATAGTGTGATTTCTTTTGATGATAACTTACCGTTTCTACCTGCTGAAGAAGTTCTGATGACTTGATTTTTTTTCTTTCTTTTAATTTTTGTAAATATTGTTTCTATTATTAAACTTTTACATATTTACATAATGTAACGTATCTTATCTTTCTGATTCTTACATCGTTTGAGCTACCTATGTGTTTACAGACAACATTTTATTTTTTTTCACCACGTAAGTTACTTGTCACTGGTAATAAATGCAGTTTTTTATTATTTATATAAGTAAGTTAAAAAGAAAAGAGTTTTCTCAAACGAATAGATTTTATTCAAGGTATTGTTTTATGCTATTTCTCTTGTATTGAATGTGTGAAAATTTCTTCATGTGCAAAATGGAATAGAACAGGAGTTACTATCGCTGGAACTGGAATTGCGGGAAGTTCTGCTGAACAACTTCATGATCCTACAGGTATTTTTATTCATAAAAAAACGAATATATTATATGTGGCTGATTATGGAAATAAGCGCATTCAAACGTTTGATCTTAATAAGTTATCGACTACTGGAAATACTGTTGCATCTTTAACATCAAATCCTCACAAGGTATTTGTTGATGATGATTCTAATGGTCCAACTATTTATATTTCTCTTCCTCTGAGTGATCATATTGAAAAATGGGTCTATGGAGCAACAAGTGGTGTTCCTATTGGTGATGCTTGTTTCTCATGTTTAGGTATTTGGGTTGATAAAGAGAAAAATCTTTATACAGCAGAATCATCAAGATTTCGTGTTCGTAAATGGTCACCTCAAACAAATAATAGTACAGTTGTTGCTGGACGAACAGATTTAAATGGATCAACACCTGATCGATTTGGTTTACCTGATGGTATTTCTGTTGATGAAACTATTGGTGATATATATGTGACTGATTACATTAACAATCGAGTACAAAAATGGGCGAAAGATTCAGAGACAGGAATGACTGTAGCAGGATCAGATTTCACATCGTTTTCTGGACCATCTTGTGTAATGGTTGATGAAGAAACAAAAACAATGTATATAGTTGATCGACACAATGCGCGTGTTCAACGATGGTTAGCCGGAGCACCTTCAGGTGATACTGTTGTAGGAGTGGCAGGTATGTTTTTTTATTTTTTTTTCAAATAATTTTTTCAATAAATAAAAAACTAGGTAGAGGCAATTCATCTGATCAGTTGAATGAACCAAGACATGCTGATTTTGATAGCAAAGGAAATCTTTATGTGAGTGATGCTTGGAATCATCGCGTTCAAATGTATACTTTAATTGACAATGAACCTTGTCGAACATCTGCAGGTAATTTTTACTGATTTTTTTCTTTTGATAATATGCGTATTTTTTTATGTAACCAGCGCTTTCGATAATGTTCAAGTAAGTAAAATAATATTATTCATTCATCTAAGAAATCGATAATTTAGATCGACAATGATCCAAATTCTATTTTCAATGGTAACCCTAATTATGGCCAAAGTATTTTAATGAGACTGATAAAACAGTGACAATATAATTTGCTTTGATTCTTTCTCTTATTTAATTAATCTATCCACAAAAATAAACAAATGACTATTCATATAAACTTATCTTTGTTTCTTCAAGGTAAAAAAAAAAGAGTATCCAAATATAGAAGAGAATTTTTACTCTCAAATCAGCATCCACGTTGAAAGAACGACAGAAAAACGTGTCACATGTCTCAATACGTTCGTTTTGCGCAAGTAATTATTGAGTAGAAAATTGAATTTCTCTTAAAATCAAGCGGCTCTCCTTCTTTTTGTTGTTTTACAACGAGAAAAATCAATGTTTCAACTATTTCTATTTCTGATAGCTGTAAAAAAATCTCTCTCTTCTCATCAGATATAATGCAGAGAGTGCACATGATATCTTCTATTTCTATCGATTTATTGTGAGAAGTGAAAAGAACATGTATATAAATACTGTCACATTTCCATTTTTTCATCAATAAAACGAACACAATCAATTTGAAGGTAAGAATTGAATTATACAGTCTACCAATTCTTTTTTTTTTAAAGAAGAAGTCAAATTTATTCAATGGCAGATACGGAGTCCAAAGAAAATGATATCGATGTTATCGTTGAAAAGGAAGATGCCTCTGAAACACTCATAGAGGGTCTGATTATTCGTCCACCAAATCCAGCAGATCTTCCATTAGGACCATACTTTCAATTTATTACTACTGATCTGGAAAAGATGCAATGGATAGGAAGTGTATTAGTCTGTCGACATATTGAATTTACTGCTGACATGAAAATCGATTATGGCCGAGACATTTTATATGAAGATTTATTCGCTATGCGTGCATATCGAATCAATCTTTATATTGAAATACCTCCGGGTGAAGGTGAAGAGAAAATAACCTGGAAAACAGATTGGGGTCATTCATCATCTAATGATGCATTTTATATTTCTCGATATAATCAAAAATGGCGTAGTGGTTTTTTTTTCATCGAATGGATATAATACAACTCTTCCTAAAGATCAAATACGAGATTTAGACTATGATAATGTCTGGAAACATTTAAATTTCTATTCATGAAAATTCTCCGTTACATATTTTAATCTGGGGTAGTGATTAAAATTATAATGATTTTATTATTGATAATATTTCTTTTCTACATGATTGGAGTAAAATGTCATGGAATGAAAAATGGACATATGATTTCGATGATGAATCAAGAAAAAAAGCTGAACATCGGGAATATCGTCCAGAAATGAAAAGAGCATTAGGTTCAACTCCAAGTATAATGATGTGAGATGATATGATATATTTGATAGTGCGGGATCTTATTCTCCATTACTTCATCAAAGTCCAATTATGAAAGGATTATTTGAAATGACACAAAAAATTCGACTACTTTTTCAACATCATACAACACCGGAAAAAGCTCGAGAACAAAGATTATTTGGTTATCAAGGACATAATCTACTCGCTCGTTGTGGTCCGAATTTACTTATCTTAGCAGCAGATGGGCGGATTGAACGTGATGCGAAGACGGTTCAACATGAAAAAACTTGAGAAATGATCTTTGAAAAAACTGGAGAAAGAAGCGGAAAATGTTAAACATTTAATTTTTTTATTTTCTGTACCATTTTCATTTGTTCGTTTTGGAATTGTTGGAACTTTTCTCGAATATATTACAAATCTCACCATGAAATGGAATAAAATTCGAAGAGTGGAAATAGCATTTCAATATTTAAAAGCTATTAAAACAAAATAGTTCAAAATTTCAATTGTAGAACAAGTTAATTCAATTTTTGGTTTACCCGGAACGTACGATGATCTTCTCGATGAATGGACACATGTAAACCATATCACCGAACGTAATGATGTTCTTCAATGTTTTCAAAATTTTGCTGAAATAAATAAAATTCAAGTAACATTCTTTAGTAGTGGTGTTCATTGTTGTGGTGTAAGTCGATTTCGAACACAAAGAATAGAGCCATTTGCACCTAATCAAGATCCGAAATTAATATATCACATTATTTCATCAGCGATCGTTCATAAACCACCACTGAAACCATTCATTCAAGCTGCTCATCTATTTAGAACGAAATAGTATCCAACGGAGAAAACAGAAGAACAAATGATCGACTTTTTTTTTACCACTAAAGAAATTACTTCCGAATCGAAATTGGTGTTGTTTTGAACAGTGTGAAGAGAAGACTTCAATGGTGATTACTACTCTTCCGAAAAAAAGGAGTTTTGGAAATGGTATGGCTTCGTATTCTACTGTTGTTATCGTTTCTTGGTTTCAATCATTTATTTAGAAGGAAGAAGATAAAGATGATGAAGTTTGCGAAACTGTGCAGGGAGAAGTTTATCATCAAAATGTTGAAATTGATCAAGAACAGCAAGAAGCAAATAATTTAAAAGTACGATTCTGGTTAGAAAGTGTTGGGAAAAAAACAGAAGTACCAAAGTTTTCTAGTTATGATCTACTTATTCCCAATCTGAAATGACAATTTTTTTTCTGTTTTGTATCAAATAAAGCTTCTGTTAATCTAGCCATTTAAATATTTCTGCTTTTTTAAAATTATATAACAATGAATAAAGTATAGATATTAAGTCTTCTATGGCTGTTATTTGTTTTTCTTTCATCATTACATTAGAAAGAGAACAAAGATAAGAACGAATTTCGTAACCACCAGATACTCTATAAAAGAAACGATCATTTAAGGTTGAAAAGTAAGAAGGGACATGGCGGTCTCACTGATACAACCTGACTCTTCGGCTGGTAATGGTCATCAAATCGAACTTGTTGGTATCGACATGGTACTGGGAGCAGTCGACAATGTCTTTGTTTATCCGACTCTTGACATTAAACAATTACAAAATGCAATTGGCCGTACCATTTCTCTTTGGCCAATCGTCGTGGGTCGTCTCTGTATTATCGACAATGAACATTACTCGATTGAACTATCGGATAATCCTATTCCATTCACTTATGTGGAAAATGATGAACTTGAACGATGGCCCATTCTTCCTGTTGCTATTGATGATCGAACAATCCTTCAACCATTTGTCGATTCCGTTCCGAGCGAACCTACTCGAGATGATCCACTCGTTCGATTCAAAGTTACTCGTCTAGTTCGGAGCAATGAATATGTACTAGGTGTTTCGTTCTATCATATGCTTGGTGATGCAGATTCTTATATTCACTTTTTAAGTGATCTTTCTCGTTTCTATCAAGGTCTTGAACCGTTATCACCAAAACTTAGTTTCGAACGACATTTATGGATTAAGAAAGATGCTTTTCGTGCTATCGATTCGTCTCTTATGCCTCTCTTGCAACCGCTGCAGGATGCACGTCCGAGAGACATCATTATCGCCAAGGTTGTAGAAGAACACACAACAACCGATCCTGTTCAAATATCCTTCTCTTCAGAACAACTAACAAAATTACATAGTCTAGCTGGACAAGAGATTGAAAACATCACTCTTCAAGATGCACTTACTGCTTATATTATTGTTACACTCAATAAATATGTCCTCGTATCAGACAATGAACATATCCGACGTACAAATACTATAATCAACTATCGAGATATCTCCGATACACTGGCTCCGCGTGGTCAAGTTGATAACTCTATCATGTTCATGCTATCCGGTGACTTTGATAATCCACTTTCTTTGCAGAGTGTTGCCAAAACAATACGAGCATCCATTAATAAGGCTCGCAATGAAGAATTTCTCGAACGATGGCTTATCACAATTGATTTAATGATGAGAAAGATACATAAAGAAGGTAAAGCATGGAATTTTGCATCTTATCCGAATGAAATTTGGTTTAATTCAAATTTGAAATATGATTGGGCAAGCAAAGTAGATTTGGGTATGAAAGATCAATGTCGATTTCATACAGTGGGCGTATCGAAATTAAAATGTCGTGTCTTTCCATTAAATCCCATACAAGATGTTGATGGAAACTGGACTCGAGATCATGGAGGAGCTGAGGTATCTTTTCGAATCCCGGAAGAAGATTGTAAGAATAAGTTTATTGCAGCATGGAATAATGATGTAAAAGAAAATTTTATGAATTTTAAAATTTTAGAATAAAAATCATCTTTTCCATAATATAAATTGTTTCATAAGTGTTAAAGATTTGCTGAATATTATCTTTTAAGTTATTATCATATTCCAACATTTCAATATATAATATAATTGCGTCGTTTTCTTGATCAGATTTCTCCTTAATCACATGGAAATGTCTTTTTTTCTGTTCATAATCAATCGATAATTGATTGCATTTGATTCGAATAAGAAATTCTTTTGGCTTATATCCATTTTTAAGATAAAATCTTTCCATAAATTCCACTGAAGCTGTTCCAACTGTAATTTTTATTTTATCTACTTTTGTTTCAAAAAATTTTAATAATCTACTTCCAACACCACATCTCCAATATTTATGTAAGACAGCAATACCACACATACTGTTATTAATAAAAACAGCTACAAATAATGGTGAGTATTTATCATATTGATCTTTTAAATAATCCAAACTCCAATTATCTAAATATTCTTGTTGTATGTTCCAGAATTGTTCAAGTTCTTCATATGTAACATTTCTTATTTCGACATGATTAATATTATCATCCGACATCCTTATTTGTTTCTTTTTTTTTATCTAACAATCACGAAGTATCAGCTAAAAACTGACTACGCAAAATGCAATAGTTGTTCTTCTTCATATCATTAACGAAAGCTTATCTAATCTAAAACGAATAATAAAATACTCTCGTTGTATATTATATTTTTCATTTTACTTGCTCATATTACAAAATAAATGTATGTTTCTTGTGAAGATACGCATCGAAACGATTATGTAGTTATGTATATATCCTGGTTAGAAGGAGCTATCAACTTAACAATATACTTTTGTCTTGTATTTGTACTTTACCTATATTGCTAGTTATATATAAACATGTTCATTTATCGCAGTTTTACGGTATTGTTGTTCTCTTTATACTCCCTAAGTACGATAAACAAGTCAATTGAATCAATATTGTATGTTAGAAGGATGCATTTTTATAATTAGCTATGAAAGACAGATTTTTACATTGAAAATGTAGGTATTTGTGTCCGAAGCATCTAAAAGTAATCGCATTTTGAATAATCATCGTAAATTCCTGTATACAACTATCATACTTTTTGTTTGTCATTTGTGTATTTATCTCTTTATTACAGATCTGAATCTTACATTACTGACGCCTTGACAACATTGATCTGCCTTCTTCTTCTCCTCATCCAAACTCAGTTAAATTTTGCGTTTATCAAATTGAAGATCCTGGAGACTCGGGGTGTGGGTGTGGGTGAGGAGAAGACGCACGCCCACACACCCACACCCTCTATAAATTCTTTACATATATCATATAGATATAATAAGATATATCTAGATTTAAGGAGCCCTATCCCCAAAACATAGAAGAATTTTTGGTAATTTCCGTAACTACCTGGAAATTCTAGTAATTACGGAAATTTCTATGATTTCTTTCTTTTTATCATACAGTTATCATGAGATAGATATAGATTTGAAGACCCTTACTCCAAAAAATAGAAGACATTATAGAAATTTCTGTAATTACTAATATTTCCAGGTAATTACCGGAATTACCAAAAATTCTTTTATTTTTTGGGGATAGGGCTCCTTAAATCTATATGTATCTTATTATATCGTACAGATATAATTTGAGAATTATAAAAATTTCCTGGTAATTTCGTCCACATGTGCTGGTAGTTTTTGTAATTACTGATAAATGTCCTTTTGTGGATTTGGCATTTACGGAAATTATCTGCTAATTTCGTTCTCTAGTATGAGTAATTACCGAAGTTTCCGGAAAATTTGTTTTCTGTTTTGAAGGTAATTTCCGAAATTTCCAGGAAATTTCTTTATTTGTGTTTATGTTTGTTTTTGAATAGGATTGAAGTAGTTACGGTAGTTTCTCATATTTTCTGAAAATTGCATTTTGTATGATTGCAGCTTCAGAAATATGAATATTTAGCAAAGAAATTTTCTTTTTTGGAAATCTGTCCACTGCTGTGCTAGAGAGCTTCATAGACACAAGATATAAGCTCGCAATTATTTACCATTGAATACTGAGGCTTCTAGTATCTAAGTATAGTTGAATATTTAAATTCAAGTTTCAAATATTACATATATGTATTAATGTAGCAAACGGAGAAGATGTGTTTGTTATAATTAAGTACAACTGACTCACACTATCAGTGTCCTACTTCTAATAAAGATTATTTTGTATTTATTTCATAATAAAAACTATTATCTACATCTATTTATTTTATGATATGAAAAAAAGTAGATTCCTAACAAAGTTGAGGTGTTTTACTTTTTCTTCTTGCAATAATACATTTAAGAGTTGTTTTTAGATTTTTTTCATAATATTTGCTTCATAAATGAAACCTTTTTCTGATGTTTTGCTATGAATCACAAACAATATTATTTTTCTCACTCTATCATACTGTTGTAAAATTACTGCTTTGACACGTCATCGTAAGACGTGTTTACTGGACGTGACATATAAGCACTGATTCATCATATAAAATACTTGCACAATGTAATGTAATAAAGAACGGAACAGAACAGAACAGAGTAACATATAAAAAGCGACTAACATACATTATTCTCTCATTTTTTTTTATCTTATCAACAATAAAAACAAGTAATAGATATTCAATAATGGCAGCTGCAGCTCTTCATGTTGAAAAAGTTGATAGACCTGAATTAGCTAAACATGATTCAAGTATTCTTGGTAAGTTTTTATTTTTCTAAAATTTAATTTAATTTTTTATTTTTACAATTATATATAGATCTTGTCTTTATCATGGATTGTACGGGTTCGATGGGATCATATATTCATAGTGCAACAAATAATATTCGTTCAATTGTAGAAGAAATAGTTGTTAGTGAAAAAAGTGATATTCGTTTAGCACTTATCGAATATCGAGATCATCCACCACAAGTAAGTGAAACAAAAAATGTTTTAAGAAATAATTAATTTTTTATTTGATTAGGACGCTACTTTTGTTACACGTGTACATGATTTCACAGCCAAAGTTAGTGAAATGAAAGGTTGGTTAGAACATTGTCAAGCACATGGTGGTGGTGACGGACCCGAAGCAGTTGCTGATGGACTTCATGATGCTCTTAAATTAACATGGCGTGCTGAATCTACTAAAATTTGTGTTCTTATTTCTGATGCACCACCACATGGACTTGATCCAAGTGGTGATGGTTTTCCAAATGGTTGTCCAGCTGGTCTTGATCCAATCAAAATTGTTCGAGAAATGGCTGAAAAACATATTACACTCTATGTTGTTGGTGTTGAACCACCTATTGGTAAGTTATCTCTATTTTTTTTTTTGGTATAATAAATTTCAAAATATGTTATTACTTTTTCTTTAGTTCCTTATCGTGATTTTTTCATGTCATTAGCTTATATTACTGGTGGACAATATGTTCCAATGGTTACATCAAAACTTTTAGCAAAAGTTATTATTGGTGGTGTACGTGAAGAAATATCAATAGATCGTTTAATGCAAGAAGCTCAAGCAGATATTGATCTTGAAATGCAAAAAGCTGAAGCTGAAGGAGCTAGTGAAAAAGAAAAAGCCGGACGAATCAATCATATTTTTACTTCGAAAAATATGCGTTCAAAACAAATGCATAATGCTTTTGGTACTGCATCAACTTTGGCTCAAGAGCACTATTCAAAATGTGCCGATATGAGCGAAATGAAAAGTGCATGGTCATCAAAACCAGCACCTCCTCCAGCTGCTCATGCTAGTGCTATACCAACAGCAGAAACTAGCTATGAACTAATGGAAGATCAAGATGTCAGTGAAGATCAAGCAGCACGAGTATATCAAAAATGGCAAAATCGTAAAAAATAAACATTTTCTTTTATTCTATGTCAGATAAATGAAATAAAACTTGATTATTAATTAATAAAATTATCGATTAAAAGATTTCTATTTAATCAGATGTGAAGTCTAGAAGTTAAATACGATGCGGATGTGAAGGACTCTATTTTTTAAATGATATATTAGGTCTTTGAGATTGTTATGAATTATTTTAATAGTATTCTTTCTATTAATCTAGAGATTGTTGCAATGCAGCATGTGTAAGTTGTGTTGACTATAGATAACATACTTGATAACAAAAAATATTCTCTTATAAGTAATACAAGTTAGGCAGATACAACGAGAAGCAAACTGATTTTTATCCTAGAAATCAATTTAACACTTTAAGGATATGAATAATGTCCAGAAAAAATATTAAAAGTTGTTGCTAAAGGTGGCCTCACAGAAGGATTGAGAGAGAGGAGGCCCAGCCTCCCTAACCAAAAACTCTGGCGCCGTTACGTAGATGTGGGTTGTGGGTGTGACTTTTCTTCTCACCCGCAGTCATAGCCGCATCCACAAGCCACACTTACACTCATGGCGACCTAAATTCATCAGTCATCGATTAAACAAAGACCGTTTTATTGAAACATTTCTCGTTTTTTTGGCCTATTGTGTTTCTAAAATGATTCGACATGCGACTTTATTTATTCAAATCTTAAGAAACAGATATGACTTATCGAAGGCTTCGTTTCACTGTTATGGGGTCAGAAAAGTGAAAAATAATTCGTGCCGGTATACCGACCGATTCGTCCAGTCTGGCCGTTTGGACCAGTACTGATATCAACTTTGGTTTTCAAATCATCGAGAGATTTTGTTTCACAAATGATGCACAGCTAAAGGTCGAATAAATACTTCTCATTTGACAGCATTCGCAGCCTCAAAGATCTTCCATGTCAAACTGGAACAAAAATGGATAGGTGGGTAGATGAGAAGAATGCCCCCCCCCCTCATCAACTACTTCTACTTTTTTTTGTGAGGTTTTTCGAAACTTTCGAGATTATGAGATCACATCACGTTTACGCTGTCCCACTCTGTTTCTTTCCGGTGGCCTCTGGTGGAGAAAGAGCTCGATGAAGCCTAGTTATCAGAAGAAAGATTGATAATATGGAGAGTAAAGCACTTTTCAATGTAGCCTACAT